ACCCACCTGCGCACATCACATCCACACCTCACACTCACACCTCACACTCACACCTCACACCTCACACTCACACCTCACACTCACACCCACCCCTCCCCCCCCCCCCTCACACCCCCCCTCACACCCACCCCTCACGCTGACACCCATCCCTCACACCTACCCTCACCCACAATGGACCGCCGCCGCACCCCCGGCCTCTCCTCGCTCTCCTCAAACCGGCTGCAAACGCACCACTACACCTCCCACGGCGCAACGCTGCGCTCGCGCAACGCGCAATCCCTCGAAACCCAACTCTCCGTCTTCCAATCCCTCGTCCACAACTTTGCCCTCACACATTCAAAAGACATCCGCGCGAACCCCGCCTTCCGCGCAGAATTCGCCCGCATGTGCACGGCTCTGAACATCGACTTCCTCGCGTCCTCGTACCACCGCGAGGCCAAAACCTCGTCCAAGGGCGGGAAGGGCGGCGCTGGGGCCGGGGGAGAGAGCATATGGGCGTCGCTGCTGGGCGGGTCGGTGCACGATTTCTACTTCAACCTGGGCGTGACGATAGTAGACATCTGCCGCTCGACACGCTCTGAAAACGGCGGCCTGATATCCCTGAGCGACCTGAGAACGCACATCTCCCGCGGCCGCGCAATCGGCTCCGCCATGACCGTCAGCGATGCCGACATCGAGCAAGCCGTCAAAGCGCTCGAGCCACTAGGCTCCTGCTTCGGGATCGTCAAGATCGGGCATAGGAGTCTGATACGGAGTGTGCCCAAGGAACTGAATACGGACCAGAGCACGGTGCTCGAGGCGGTGCAGGTCATGGGGTACGTGACGGTGAGTATGCTGCAGTTGAATCTTGGGTGGGGGAGGCCGAGGGCGGTGGCGGTTGTGGAGGATCTGATGGCGGACAGTTTGGTGTGGGTGGATTGCCAGGCGGGCGAGAATGAGTATTGGAGCCCTGCGTTCATTACGGGTGGGGGGTTGAGGTGAACCTGCCTTTTCGATCGGCTTGGAGGGAAAGAGGATGATCAGTATGATACCCGGCAATTGCCACAGTACTACTACTGCTGCTACTACTACTACTTTGGACGCATCCAGTGTGCCATTGCGAGGGCACACCGAGGCCTATGCTACATATGATACAGTGTACAGTGTTTGTCTATCGCGCCCGGCCGGGTGCTCCGCTTGCTCACCAGAGGTACTCGGCCTCGACCCACCTCACTTCCTCGGCCTCCCTCCACGCGCCTGTCTTGTCCTTCGCGTCTGGGAGCACAACGCGATGCCACAGCCCCGCAAACCTCCTCGCCGCATCCTCGTCCTCGAACTCGACAATCCACCGATTGTACACGCGGTTCATAACCAGCTGGTTCATCTCCTTGGCGCTGTCGGCGTCGCCGGAGCCAGAAGAGGAGGAGCCAGAAGAGGAGGAGCCAGAAGAGGAGGAGCCAGAAGAGGAGGAGCCAGAAGAGGAGGAGCCAGAAGAGGAGGAGCCAGTGCCGAGGAACGATGCGATGGCCGGGTCTTCGTACTCGACTCCTTCCTCGGCATGCTTCTCGCGGACGTGGAGAGGCGAAGCGGCGCGCGGGTTCGAAGTCGAGACCGCCTGGAACTTTGCCCTGCTCACAGTCTTCAAATTGATCGCATCCCGCAACCTCCTCAGCGCGCTGGCATGATCGTTCCGAAAGGGCCAGATGATGCCCCGCGCATGCGCGTGCCTGCTGATGATCTGCCACAGATCCCACTGGCTCGGCTCGTAGCCGTCCATGTGCATCAGCACGCGGTGGATCTTCCTGCCCCTGCCGTCAACGCTGGGCACAACCGGCGCATAACCGCCGGCGTCGATGAGCGAGCGCAGCGCGCGGTTGTACGGCTGCATTACCGTCCTGAGGTCGAGCGCGTGGCCGTTGGGGTGCAGGACGAACGAGCTCGTCACAGCGTGTATGTCCTCGCCGTTCTCGAGGAAGCCGGCGGGCGGCGGGATGGCGGAGTGGATGCTGCTCGGAGCGTGCAGGGCGCACAGTTTGCTGAGTCTCGAAGCGTTCTTCTGGTATGCGAGCGCCGAGGCCGGGGTGTGGAAGAGCAGGTAGTAGAAGGGCAGGCGCTCGAGCGAGAGCGGGTCGCGACCAGGGATGATTTTGTAGAAGTCGCCGTCGCGCGACCATGTCTCGATGTGCAGACCGCGGGGGACGAGGCGGCGGAAGTCGGCTTCTGTGAGGGCGGTGCTGCAGTTGGAGAGCTGGAGCACCGTGGTTTGTTCGCCGCGCGCACGGAGCGCATCGATGGCCTTCTCGCGGTCGGATCTGGTGTGGGAGCGCGTCAGGCGGATGTGCGGGTTGGTGTCTGGAGCAGGGAGGTCGAGCTTTGGGGGCGAGGGCCGTTTGTCGGTGGGATCGGGCTGGACCTGGCTGCTGGCCTCCGGGAAGAGTTCGTCCAGCAGGGACTGCTCGCTGAGCTCGTCGGATGCCGTCGAGGGTACTTGTGGCGCAGGCCGGGGCGACTGCTGGTGGCTGGACGACCTCATCGAGCTCGACTGCGCTTGGATCTGCTGTGCCAGTGTGTTGTTCTGCGTCGTGCGAGTCTCCGCCGACTTCTCCACGGCTGCCTCTGTGGCCGCGGCAGCAGCGCCCTGATGTGTTGCCGTCCGCTCGACCTCTGGTGGCTGCTCAACCAGCTCCGCAGTGGCTGCACTCCCGGCCTCCAGCTTCGCCTGCAGCAACGCCAGCTGCTCCTCGAGCCTCTGCAGCTTCTGACGAAGCTCGTTCTCAGATTCGGCGCGTGCTTCCGATGACTGCCGCTTCTCCTCCAGTTGGACCTTCTTCTCCAGAGCAACCCGGATCGCGTCCGAGACACGCTCGTTTTCCTGGGCAGCCAGGTGCTTGTGAATCCTCGGCTGCAGCGTTGCGCTGGCTGCAGGCCCGCCGCCGACAGCTTCCTCCCTCGTCCGCTGTGCCTGGCTCTTGTATGCGCCAGTCCTAGTAGTGCTGGCTGATGGCTGCGCGGCTGGCTGGGCTGCCCGCAGGGCTGCCGGCAAGTCACGCCTCCCCTTCCCATGCCCGCTACGCACAGCCAGCTTCTTAGCCGTGGGTGCGGACGCTGCAGTCGCCCTGTGGCCAAACGACTGTCCAAACGAGAATCCATGCTCTAGCTTTCCTTCTCCCGGCGAGCGCGCGCTCGCCGCATGGTCACCGCCGGCGGTCGAGGGGCTGCTGCACGGCTTGTCGGAGGCGAAGCGGACCTGGTGGGCGCTCCATGGACGTCGACATGGCCGCAGATGTCGAGGAAGGCGCGGCGGTGGCATCAATCGTCGCTTCGTCACATTGCACGCTGGAGCCAGACGCGCATGTCGCGACTCTGGAAAAGCTTCCAGCTCCTGTCCGCATCGGGCGCTAGCGTGGCCCGCTTAGTCAATCATGCACATTTTCTACCACAACGAGCGACAGCTTGGATAGTCATAAACACAAATCAAATTCTTCTCGATGAGCCTGGCGTTCACGCTCCGGCCGCTGGAGCGCAACCCGCCCAGCACGCCCGGCAATGCGCTCGAGGGTGCGTTCCGAGTTCATCTTTCTGCGAAAGAGCTCAGGAACCACCGCCTCGCCAATGGCGACTTGATCAGGCTGAAGACTGCGGCTGGCTTCAAGGGCTACGGCATCGCTTGGACGGCAGCTGCAACAAATCCAGCGAACAAGCCAATCGCCAAGGTCACGGACCTGCTCAAAGAGCAGTGTGGCCTGTCACTGAACGATCCAGTGTGGATCGAGAAAGCCAGTGACTCATGGAAGCCTCTCACGAGCGTCCGGATCGCATATCCAGAGTCTATCGAACAGGATGCCAAGTTTCCCTCCACGGACGAGCTGTTGTACTGGGCCCGCTATGCGCTAGTCGATGTTGAACTCGTCCTGCCTGGATGCAGTCTGCAGGTACAGGCAAAGGGGCCCAAGGAGCAGCCGAAGACGTCAAAGTTACGCCTGACGGTTCAGAGTATCGATCCCCAACCGGACGAGAAGAATGCACTGTACTTTGATCCAGTCAGTACCCAAGTCATAGCCTCACACGAACCTCCTGCTCAGCAGCTTCCTCAACACCCCGCAGCACAGCCTGCGAAACCCGTTTCCGAGGTTCTCAAGCTGAACACCGAGGGAATCGGAGGCCTCTCAGAGCACACTGCAACCATCAATAAGAGTCTTTTCTTCTTCTCACATGCAGCATCTACTCTTCCTGACCAGCATCTCCTCGGACCAACCACCTTTCTCTTCCATGGCCCGGAGGGTACCGGTAAAAGTATGCTACTCGAACGTCTTGCCGACGCGCCCTGGAAGGATGTGCAACGACTGAGTCTGGAGACACACCCGAAGAACCAAGCCCTGGGCATCGAAGACACGTTTGAGGCCGCAAAGGAGAACCAGCCAAGCCTGATTCTGATGGACAACCTAGACAAGTTCCTCGAAAAGGCAGAGACGCTGGTCGGCAAGCTACGCTCTGAGCTGGCCAAGTTAGAAGGAAACAAAGTGGTTGTCGCAGCAGCCGCACGCAGCATCTACGACATCGACTCGAGTCTGCGCACAACATCAGGATTCAAAGCTGAGCTGGAGGTCTTCCCGCCCAACCTCGCGCAGCGCGAGGACATATTACGCCAGATCCTCGGCCCTTTGCGAGCGACCTCGAGCGTCAACTTCACGGCCGTAGCAGAGCGCGCACACGGCTTTGTGGGTCGCGATATCCACAAGCTCTGCGGTCTCGCACGGAACCACCGCATACAGGAAGTCTACGAAAGCCTAGACGACGCTGCGAAAGAGTCGTTCGGCTCAATCCTGGAAGCAGGAGATTTCGTCACACAATCCGATTTCTCCGCCGTAATCGACCAAGTCCAGCCCACCGTCCTCAAAGACAGCATCCTCGAGGTGCCGAAAGTAAAATGGGATCAAATCGCCGGTCTAGACCACGTCCGCGCCCTTCTCGAAGCCATCACCATCCGGCCGTTCAAGGTACTTTCCCCCCTCCCACAACCAGTCATTCATGATAGACACAGCCTAACGCACTCAGCACCCCGACCTCGACGCCAAATTCGGCGGCCCCCAATCCCGCAAAGGCGTGCTCATGTACGGTCCACCCGGCTGTGCAAAGACTCTCATCGCGCAAGCCGTGGCCACGGAATCGCACCAAAATTTCCTCGCCGTCAAAGGCTCGGAACTGATCAAAATGTACGTTGGCGAATCTGAGCGGGCGATCCGGGACGTCTTCCGGCGGGCGAGGGCGGCCAAACCGTGCATAATCTTCTTTGACGAGATTGATTCGATCGGCAAATCTCGCGAGAAGACGCAGGACTCGGGACTGAACGTTGTCACGACGCTGCTCAACGAAATGGACGGCATCGAAGCCCTCAAAGACGTGTTCATAATCGGCGCAACGAACCGGCCCGACATCCTCGACTCGGCTTTGATCCGTACTGGCCGCTTCGACGCACATATCCACATCGGACTTCCCACGCTCGCGGCGCGCAGACAGATTCTGGACATCCACACGCGCAAGCGCCCGCTCGCTTCGGACGTGAATCTCGATGTTGTGGCGGAGCGCACGGAGGGGAGTAGTGGTGCGGACATCAAGGGGCTGTGTGCGGTGGCGGTGGAAATGGCGATCAGTGATTATGAGAGGGCGGGTGGGGAGGCGGAGATCAGGATGGAGCATTGGGAGAGGGCGTTGCGGGAGCATCAGCCGCATACGCTCAGGGAGGAGGCGGAGAGGTATAAGTACTGGAGGCCGGGGATGAGTTTGAGTGAGAGTTGAGGTACCTTTTTGACAGGACTGGGGAGGGGGAGGGGGAGGGGGGTTTGAGTGCTTCGGGCGTGGATCGTTGAGTAAGCAGATGGAGGAGGATAAGTGGTGTAGCTATCAAGTTGGATCTCAGGATTGTGTTTCGACACGTCTTGGGGATTTGTGATGGCCTCCATGTGTTTCAGCACGCGTTTTCTTCCTGGTGCGATCGAAGTGGTGCCAGCATTTGCATTGCATGAAGCCGGCCCCAAACCGAAACACCAGGACGTAGCGTGGGCACCGACCTGTACCGCTTCCTGGCGCATGCAGCGATCGCGAGCGTGCTCGGTCAGTATACCGTCGTCTCCAGTTTGCAACTTACCAGCGTCTGTGGTCATCTTCTGCACCACCTGTTGGCTCCAGCGTTGATTCGGAGCCCCAGCTAGACTCGCTTGGTACGGCTTGTTGGCTACAGTCACACAAACGATTCCAGTGGTCGTGGGCGTTGAGGATCACCACAGATCTACCCTTGTAAACTGATCAAAGTTACGTCTCAGCTCTGATGCTCTCTCCCAGGGATTGATTTCATACGTACTACAGCCATGTCGTTTGTTACGTAGAGGTGTCGTAGTGGCGTACACAGTGTGTGCTGAGTGGCTATAAGCTAATACCCAGGATCGAAAAGCGTGGCATCTTTGCGGCACATCGCCTATACCATGCAATCTGGAAGATCAATGGAATTGTCATAGCAACAATCAGGTGTAGAGTAGAGATCTGAGGTTGATGCATCGTTCATTATTGTCATTAAACTAAATTAGAAGACTACAGTGGTATCTTGCAAAGTAAAAGAAACTCCATCATCCCTTAGCGTCATGCTGTGAAGGGATCGTCGTAAAGCAAATCGCTCGCTAGCTTATCATCATCACCATAGACTCTCGTTCACGTCGAAACCCAGTCGAGCAAGAGCAACGGACATCTTAGACCATCTGCTCACCACGAACCCCATGTTCATGGCTCAGCCTGCTACCACCAACAGGCTTCCTCTGCATGTGGTGGCCAGTAGCTGCACCCGCACCAGCGCCCATGGGACCCTCGGCCTGAGGCTGCATAGTGCCCCTAGGGCCATCCGCAGCATCAAATGGCGCACCAGCCCAGGCACTTCCATCGTGCGAGCCCCAGCCAGCCTTGCGCGTCCAGACAGCATCGTGGAAACCATCGAAAGTGCTGGGTCCAGCGCCGTAGACAAACGGAGCGTGGCGCAGCACGGGAACGTGGTTGAAGCGGAAGTCCCACACCGAGGCGTAGACCATGCGGTAACTGCTGAACGCCATGAGCGTACCAATGACGGCGCCGGCAAGGATGTCGTACCAGTTGTGGTACTCGTCGATGGTCAGGGCGCCGCCGATCAGGCAGGCACCAAGCAGGGGCGCGTAGATGGCGACGAGCTTCCACATGGCGGGGTGGTAGTTGGCGAAGACCTTGAGCTTGGCGTTGAGGTAGAGGTACAGAAAGACGAAGCCGGCGAAGGCAGCGGTGGTGTGGCCGGAGGGCATGGACTCGAGAGAGTCGTTGATTTCCTTCTTGTCGCCCGTGCAGATGCTGCGGTCGAACATGATGGAGCGGTAGCCGTTGGCGACGTTGGTTCCGGTCGGGCCAGCGGATTCGAAGGTGTCGGTGTCGAAGGCGAGGTTGGCTGGGATGACAGGCTTGCAAACGGCGAGGAAGTGAGGGCGGAAGCCTGGTCTAAGTCAATGCCTGCTTTCGAGGTAAATGTTGATGTGACGTACCTCCGATCAACCACTTGATGAAAACCTGGAAGACGGCCGCAACGATCAGGGCGTAGAGCAGACCAATGGTTGCGTTGTTGACATCCCAGAACGAGCGGACTCTGATCTGGCAGATGAGGAAGACAGCGAAGGGAATGAAGAAAGCCATAAGAGCAGCTGCCCAGATGGGAACGATCTCGTTGCGAAGAGGGTATGCAAACTCAGGGTAGACGATTTCTCCATCAGCGAAGGTGACTGGGCAATTGTTAGTCGTTGTCACAGAGTCTTTGATTGTAGGAAACTCACCAGGGAAGCTGCGGCTCGGTGCCGGATCAGCGAAGTAAACACCCAATCCAATAGCTCCTAGAACAGCCATGGTGACAATATCGAGAGCAGTAGCCTTGATCCATGCACCGAAGGTAGGGCGCGAGTTCCAAGCTCGTGCGCCGCCATCGTGCTTGTTGGCGAACATGCCGGCCTTCTTCTCGCGGTGGTGGGTGCCAGTAGCAGTAGTTGTGTCAGCAGGGGCAGCCGTATTCCTCTTGTTGAAGAGACCCATTGTGGGCAGGTGTTGAGGTTGTTGGTGAGTGTGTGAGGTTTTGTTGACGGTCGAGGTGAAGCAAGCAAGCAGCTAGCTACCGTACACCTTTGTTGACACCAGCAGGAGAGAAGCGTGGCTGGAGAAAACTAGCAATCGCATTCACCTCACCTATATACTTCCCCAAAAACGCATGCGCAATCTTCTTACCGTCGTCACACGGCCACGCACCCCAAACAACGACATCATTCCTCGCCCTTTGCTCACTTTCACGAAAAGACCATCCAATCACCCAACCCCTGGGACGCCACAAACCGGTCTTCATCCCTGTTCCCGGCAAAAACGGCCATTTAGAGCACGTCGCAGCGCGCTCAAAGAGGAAGGGATGGCACGAAAGCCACATCACAACGTCGTAAAGTTCTGTTTTGGGACAGGTCGAAAAAGTTGGCACAGATTGGCAAAAGCTTGGTTGCCGCGCGCCAGGAGCTTGTTTGAGTTTGTGGGCCTGTGTGTGGCTGGAGTCCTTTCTTTATGATGAAATGGACAGTCTGGAGCGTGGGTCAGTGCTGCTGGCACCCGTGTTTAAAGTTGCGAACGCGATGTGAAAGGGAAGTTTCGCGTGTCAAGTTTCGTGTGGGTGACGTCACAGCACATCAAGAATCTCGAAGGCCGGCTGGCTAAATGGGGGATTACCACGACTTGATCACGATGCACGATTGCCGCACTTGAGCTTTGGCAGGTCTTCCGCCTGAGGTCTCTAGTACCGTCATGTCTTCCTTGATGAAAGTGCCTTTTACGATGATTGCTTATTACTTCAACCTTGCATCAATACATAGGAACGACGATGACCGGGCCCAAGCAAACAGAACATTAATAGCAGATGATTTTGGAATACAAATGAGCGTCGCATCATAGGATGCACGACCGAAGAAGCGCAACTTCGATTGCAGCTCGAAATCACGAACCATCAAGCAGCAACTCCTACGTACCCCGCGACTAGACAGACCGTACCATCCCCAACATCACCTTCGCAAGCCACTCTGGCCAATGCAGACATTCGACACACCGCCACCGCTTAAGCTTGCCAGAAGACTCAGTCAACCTATAGACCAAGACGCGATTTGATCTGTGATCAACCACCCCATTGCGTCTCGACAAAAACAACAAGATAAATACGCAAAAGCTAGTCAGGCCCTTGCAAGATAGACTTGTCTTTGATGGTTGGCGTGATCATCATGGTCAGTGCATGTACCCGTACCTTGACAGCGCGAGCTGGCAATTACTACTTTTGGAATATTTAATATACACTCCATCTCCTGCGGACTGGGCAAGGAGGCTCAGCCTCATCACTATCCTACATTTGACTTATTCAGGCTGACAATGGTGGTCAGCACGCCATAAGCACCGATAACTTTGAGAGTGAGATCTCCAGACTTACACATGGTGGGCATATTCACAGGCCGCACACAAAATGCGCAAGACTCCAGCGAACGACACTAACCATTCTACGTTCCCTCCCTGGAGTTGGGATCCGTAATTTCTGTTCCAGCTGCATACCTCGACCCTCTCAATCAAGCGTTTGCAAACGAGACAACTGCACAACCGCCGCTTGAAAATCTCACTATCGAACAATTCCGCGCCACAGTCGAGCAGATACAGCAGCATGAGCCCCTACCAGGTGTGACTCGTACCTCGTTCACCGTTCCTTTCCAAAATGGCATCAAGACCTATGTTTTCAAGCCGGAGGGCCAAATGGTAAACTCCCAGTGGTGTTCCTTTTCCATGGGGGCGCGTGGACCGCTAGAAGGTATGTCGTGTTGCTGAAGTTGCTTGAACTCATTATTGGGCCGAATGCGACTGACATCAGAATAGTGTCAATACACACGACAGTCTCTGTCAAGATATCACACGGCAGACTGGCTTCGCGGTCGTGTTTCCAGAATACACGCTCGCTCCTGAAGCACGCTATCCAACACAGCAAGAACAATGTTATGCGGTGGTAAAATGGATCCGAGAACATGGCAACATGCAGGGATTATCGCAAGATTTGTTCGCCATTGCTGGCGACACTGCTGGAGGTTTATCATCGTTCAATTGCTCTGTTCGAGACCACATTTACTAACTTGCACCTAACAGGCCAGCTCACCATTGCCGTGAGCATTATTGCATCAACCCGCAAACCCACCATCCCAATCACCTACCAAGTCTTTACCAAACCCGTAACCGACACCGTAACTACCGACCGCGACACTCCAAGCTCATACCAATTCTTCAACGGCCCGTTTGTCACTATTCCCGATGCCGATGATCGGACATCTGAACTCGCAACTCCACGCAATATATTTCCCAGGAATGCGGCGAAGCAACCCCCAACATTGATTCTCTGCGCAGCAACCGATATCCTGAAGGATGACGACATTTTGTTTGGCGAGGTTCTGCAGAAGGCGGGCGTGGATGTGTGCATCTTGACGGGCCATGGGCAATTGCACGATAGTGTCCTTTTCGAGGCAACGAGGTACGGCGCGACGCCAAGAGCTATGGTGAGGTTGGTGGCAGCGCAGCTCAAGGATGCCTTGGCTAGTACTAAGGAGGAAAATGTAGAGACAAGGGAGAAGAGAGTACGCAGCGAAGCAGTTGAGCAGAATGGAAAACGGCTGAACAAGAAGAGGAAGACAAGAAGATTAAGGTAGCGGGATGTTACTGAGCTAGTACGATATATACAATTTTCCGTACTCAGTGATGTTGACATTGAACAAAACTTTCGTGATCGTGCCGACCGAACATGCCACATGCAGAGTTGAAACGTTGGTCTTTGGGATGCTGATCATGCTTTCGACGAGGGCGATAAAGGATTCGAGGACAAGTCCAATGGACGTTTTGTGACGGAGCAACCTGGCAGAAGGTACCTGCTCATGCAGAAGATGTAGGTGAAGCTCAGGGTATTTGACCGCAGCTGATCCATTTCGAGTTACTGGACCACCCGTCTTCACGCATTTGCAAGCTGCCATTGCGACTTGTCTGCGATGTGATTGTGGAGGCGATAATGCTCAGTGGATGTAGTGGTGGGAAGGTGCGGAGAAATTCCGCCTAGCGCCTTTCGACTGCAGCATTCGCATGCGCACCCATCCACCTTCCTTCACCAACATCGAAACACCCCCACCTCAACCGAATAACCGACAGCGACTGTTGAAAGCTGCTTGTGGTAATCAGCATGTGCTTGCCTGCGATGCCATCATCCTGAAGGGTCTCTGGTTACATATGCTGCTCAAACTCTCCCCACAATGTCCGGCTGATTCTCCGCGGTGCTGTGCAGCTTCGAAACCCTGAAAGTCAGCATCGGGAGCCTTTTATCCCGCAGCTTAACATTAATAAATATTCCATTTAATTTCGAGACACTTGCGCAATCAATTGATGATGCAGTCTCATACGCTGGCTCGCTGTTATTTCGCAGACGGCAATGCACGCGAGGTGCAAGGTCGAGATGAACGCCCACTGCAGCGCCTTTCGGTAGGGCAACATACCACGAAGATCTCAGCTACCCCATGTAGATGCTTAAGGCAGCTCCAGATCTTGACGACGAGAAGAGTTTGCGGGGTCACGTCTATTTTTCATCAAATACCTGGAGCGAAAACCCAGCCATATACCTCACCACTGCTAGTCCCACCGTGCCCAGACCGAGACTTTCGCATACACCGCATGCGGAACTTTCGTAACTTCTTAGAGCTGAGCGATGTTGGGACCTTCCCTGCTGTGCATGCAGGATGACTACTTCTGGCAAATCACAGAGTACAGTCTCAGCTCAGCTCTTGGCCATGCTGCAGGGCTGAGGAGCTTGACCTGCAACTAACTGACAGACTTCAGCTCTTGAGCCGAAATCGCATCATTCTCGAGGGAACCAAAACAGTGAAGACGACTGCTACAGTTGTGGAATGCCAAAATCTCGAGGGGCATTACTGAAAATCTATCTGCTTGCATGCTTACACACATAGTGCTTACACCACCTAAGCACATACTAACCTTGACCATGCTGCATGCTACCAGGCCAGGGCATTACACAAAAAGAAGCACGATTCACACGGAGACCAATCATACCGTTGCACATGCGACACGCTATCCAGTAACGGTTAATGTTCCTGTTGTCTCCAGCTTCCGATTGGATGTTTCTACTGTACACTGCGACCATTTGCTTACGGTCACGCAGGTGTACTGCCTCATATGCAAGCTCGGAGAATCCAGAGCCACCAGGTCTGCATTGGTCTACTACTCAGCTCGCTCTCGCCTACAAGACTCGCTACGTGGGCCGCGCCCCATCCTTCTCGTACGTACAGCTTGCTTTGGGTATATGCCTCTGGCCGCCACGTTGTAGCCCACACTTAGGGTTTCGCAAAACTCAAGTCCACTCGGGGACGACTTCCACGCATCCTACGCCATGGAGCATCGAGACAACTATCACGACAACATGAACAGCCCCAATCGTACACCTTCGCAAGGCGAATGGAGCCCCCCACCACCACAATTCGAAGAGCATGACCACATATACACAGCTCAAGGGTCACCTCACGCCAACTCTCCGCCCTCTCCGTACTCGTCAGTGCCACACTCTTCACCGCCGCCGCTCTCTCCGCCTTTACATGTCTACCAATCTTCCTCGCCGCAGGAGTATCAGCAGGGGTACTTTAACAGCCCGTGAGTATTCTGCCACCACCGTTGTCTGCAATGGATTGGAGTAGAATGCTTTCTTGCGTATTTGAATACAGCTCACTGACGATATTTTAGCGTATCTACGGAGAAAGAGACACCATATGCCACACAAATGGCTATTGGCAGTCCCACACCTGACTATTCTGCACCGCAAGTCGTGCCCCATCAGCAGACCTATCCGTTCGGTCGTCAGCCGTTCCCACCTTCTTCGCATGGCGGCAGCACACTCGGTTCGCCTCAACCACGACCATACACCTTCAAGGAGCACGTCGATCCACACGACCAATACATCTCGCGGCCTGGCTCTGTCCCGCCGCCAGTACCACCGAAGGATGACAGGAAGTGTGGGTTAAAGAAGCGTACCTTTTGGATGCTGATGGGGTGCGTCATCTTCTGGCTCGTTGCTCTCGCAGTAGGCCTCGGGGCAGGATTGGGCATAGGTCTGTCGAAGAAGAACAAGTAGGTTGCGCGTTCTTTCTAAGCGCTATTGAGAATCTCTACTGATGGTTGAACAGGAGTAATGAGATCAAGATGGACCCGTTCTGTCGTGACCATCCTAAGCTCTGCATTGGCGGCGCACTGAACGCTGATTACCTCTCGAAGAAAGGAGCGTTCAACGGGTCTGGCATCGCACTTGCTGGAGAGTCCTGGAATCCAACAACTGGAACACTTTTCACCGTGTACTTCCAGCATCACACAGGAGACATACGATTCATGAGATACACGAGTGGCCAGAAGTGGGTAGGTGGCACCAAAGCAGAGACTGTTGCAAGTAATGCGAAAAACGCCACACCAATATCAGCCGTGGCGTATGCTGCCAACTCGACGCAGTTTGTGAGTACATTCGTAGCCATAGCATTTATCATTCTGACTGTAGCAGTTCCATGTGTTCTACGTTGGAAACGACAACATGGTCAAGCAGGTTACTCAGACCAATGAGTCAACCACCACTCAGCTCTGGACAGAAGGGCCTCTCAGCAAACAGAACTTGCAAGTCTATGCTGATTCTCCAAGTACTGGGCTCCAAGCGTGCTGGAAAGGTAACTTCTATGGTGATGCAGACTACAAGAAGTTTCCCACCGTGAGTGGAGAGACCAATGAGGTACGGTTCTCATATTCCTTGGATCTTATCACATTGGTTAGCTAATTTTTGCTCCCAAGGTTCCTTTCGACAACAGACTGGGCATGAACATCTGGTACGCACTGGACAACACCACTTTCCAGCAATACGCCTGGTATGCCGGCAGCCCCGACTGGAAGTTCATCCAAAAATGGCAAGGATTCAACACACAAGCTGGCGTCGGCTGTTACAGCTGGGGAGCCGGTACAACACAATATGCGATGATGGTCAACAAAGGCGAAGATGTTGAGTTCTATTGGAAGGATACTGACACTAATTCGAGCACCATCATTCACGACGAAGACCATCCATACAATGTCTTCGTCAACGCCACTGGAGCTACTATCCCAGACGTCTGGCCCTCGACATCACTAGGCTACACTACATACTTTTATGCTCAGTCGGCTGACAGAAGCATCCGTGGCTACGATATCAACTATAACGCAGAGAACACGTCGTATCCCATGCACGAGAACTTCACAGTACAAACGCCAGCTGAGCCGCTGTATGCGCTTGGTGGCACGCATCTGACTGTTTCTGCTGTAGCAGAGAAGAACGATAAGGGAGACACACTGTATGACAGTTTGTATGTCTTCTTCCAGAAAGATGGCGATGATATCACGGCAGCGACGAGGAGAGTGTTTGGGGGTGAGTGGACCATTGCGCCGCTCAAGATTCCAGACGCATGAGTCTAGTTCCATCTTGTGGTGTTCCAGTAATGGCTACTTGTTTGACCCTGGAGGAAGTTAACAGTTCTAGCGGAGAAAAATGGTCGAAAGGCTCACAAGGCGCTTACTTCATCATGTATATGCTTTCTTTTGTCGAACATTCCGGGCAGAGCGCGATGACGGTCCTTGTACGATCGCTTGATGGTTAGGCGTTGTGGAGTTTAACGATACCTAATGACTGGGTCGAAGCACATTATAAACACCCTTTCACAGAGTTTTGAATCAAAAGCCTGCAGTAACAGGCACCACTTCAATATGTCCATCATTTCAACTTACCAGCTGCCGGAACCACAATCACGATCACCGAGGGAATCTTTTGAGAATGTGCGTTGCATGCACACACCCTATTACTATGAATGATCGATCACTGCGCACACGACAACCCATCATTCAGCCGCCTGCGTAGGCCATCGTCTCGACTTGCTGCTTTTGCCAATCCAACAGCATGTGCAATCTCCTCTCTTGCTCGCCGCTGTCCACAAACACAATCTCAGAAGATGACGGTAATTTTGGCTATTTCCGAGAACATGTGGCTAACAGCTGCCCTGTGTACGCCCAATTTCCCTGTCCTAATGAGGCAATAGATCATGTCGTACGACATATTCTCGCGCTGTGTTGCGAGGTGTCGCGCGTGGTGTTGCAGCACAAAGCTGTGTGTTGCCGTCGATCGAGATTGACGTCAATCTAGAGATAACAACGTCGACTCAGCGACACAACTCTCATCTCACACGGGCCAGTGTTGGTAGTTGAAGGTGTTTGAGATCGATGAGGGACCCTTGGCGGCGCATAGCGAAATTGCTTATGGGGCTGAAACCGCGGCCCAAGCTCACACTGACCGCTCGCATCTTCAGCGACCCGTTACCATGACACAGACGTCTTTGCTGCAGGAACCGCGGTGACAACGGCCATCCCCGTTATCTACTATGGATGCCGTTGTCGCATGCGGCAGATGCAGCCAATCTGCAACATCGCGCATGCTGTCACGTGTGTGCCGATCACCCATACCCTGGCCTCAAACCCTGGTCTTCGACGTCTGAATCCTGCGCAATTTGTCCCTAACGGCCCCAGTTGCGTCTGGAAGACTTGGTGACCGCTGGCATGAGGAAGAATTGTGGAGGCGACGGGTTGTTTCCCGGGGACTAGACGTCTCGATGCTGGCGCAATTCTGCTCATCGCTACCTTTTCTTCGATTTTGCTCCGACCCACGACCTCGCCTCTTGCTGTGCAACTGTTTGCTCTTCGGAGCTATCCACTCCTTTGGCCGCGCATCACTTTCCTTCCTCTTATTATCGTCCCATCGTCCTCAATTTCCTATCTGATACCCACTAGCAACCCACTTGAAACGCGATGCCGAGCTTGCTCACGAGATCAAAGTCGCTCCGGCTTCTGAAGGGAGGTCGGAGGGGCGCCCAGCAGGAAGAGTCTCAGACTCAGAACTCTATCCCACGGCCGAACGCTTCTCCAACAGACTTTGACAGGTTCAAAGCAGCTACACCAGTTCCTAGGGCTGACCGAGCGCTTGAAGCGCCCGAGATGGTAGCCCGCCCGAGTACGTCAGGTGGGCCGGGGGAACGCGCAATACAATTCCACAAGAAGACGATTCCTGCGCCATCAATCTACTCTGAGGACCGGTTCCTGGCTTTCTCTTCGCCTACTAACTCAACCGCCGTACTACACGCTGTGGAGAGCCCCGAGGACGTTATTGGCATCGCGCTGGGTAGCCCTACTGTTGGCTCGCACTGGACCTCAACGCCCCAGGCCACCACCGAGAACCTCGTTGCCGGCGCCCAGATGTCACTACACAGCTATGCCAATGCATCAACAACCACTGTTACCGGACCTCAGACACAACCTAAGCCCAAGGTCAGCCGGTGGAAGTCCTTGTTCAAGAAGACAGCGCCACCATCAAAAGAGAAGCCTTCTTTCTATCAACTGGCACAACAGGTCACCCCAGCTCGTGCAGACAGTCATCATGATACATCCCCAAAGTCGAAGTCGAAGCCGAAGTCGAAGACGGAGGGTGGAGTAACATTGCCGGTTTCGGTCTACAACCTTGACATGAGGGCCTCTCGCAACAAGTCACATGACAATGTGTCGTCAACGGAAGTTCAGCATGGAAGGAAACGTTCAGCGACACTTGATGCCGGCCGTGCCGCACCTCGATACCGATCTCAACGGTCTGCCACAACTCCAAACCCACCGCAAGCTGGCTCAGGTGCACCGGATATGAAGTTCTTGGAGGGTCTACCAACACAATCGACACAGACTGCAGCTGGGGCAGGCCTCCTCGGTGTGGACATTCCTGACACTAAGCTGGACCGATACAGTGTTATGTTTAGTGGAGTGCTGGAGCCAACACCCAACCGGTCTTTGTTATATCAGCGGCGACAAGAAAAAGCCGATAATGATAAGGCCAAACCACTGGACAAGATCTCGATCAAGGTACGTTATGTCTAGAAAGACCGTCTTGAAAGGTTTGGCTGACAAAGACTAGGATGACAAGGAAAGTTTACCAGAACCCAAACTTCAACGACGAGCGACATCGCCTACAGTCTCGAATCCTCCGTCAGCGCGACTATCATTGTTTCCTGCGACTGGACGCGCTACACCAATACTACGTGCAGGTACACCAACTTTGCGTGCAGGCACACCGGTATTACGAGCACCATCGCCTCTTGTCTCAAACTCTCCTCGAGCGAGATCCAAGACCGCACCGGCAAGGTCACCGACACAACAGACCTTCAAGACAGCAGAAGAGAGCAAGAGCAAACCGCCGTCTACAAGCGCCACCCGCCAGTACAGCGAATCACCCAGCCTCAAACCACAACAACCAGCACTCACACCCACCTCCATCCACAGCTTCGATACCTCGGATAACGAATCCATCACCATTGTAGTAGGCCGCACAGCGCCAGCCGCAACAAAAGCGTGGAAGGCACATGTCGAATCGCAAGAACCCGAGTGGAAAATCCTTCCCAAGCCCAGGTCTGCATCTGCGTCCGCGGACCGCTCTGCATCCCTCGAACGCTCCCTCAGTCGCAAACAACCACGCGTAACCGCCGCCTCAGCACTGTCCTCGCACCCTTCCTCACCACCTCTCGAAGTCTCCTCGCCGCTGCAGAACCTGCAGATGCTCCTCTCACCACCCCTTTCCGCTGAATCCTTCGAACGACCCGCTGTTGAGAAGCCTGTCATTCGACGGACGAACAGCCAGCGGAAGGCGAAGGTCGTAGGTGGCAGTGCGCAAACGGCGACGGTGGGCATTGCAAGGAGTGTGAGTGTCAGCAAGGCGACCAGACCGAGGACGTTGGTCAGGACGCAGACGGATCTGGGGAGACATTTGCAGACGAGTCCTGAGAAGAGGTTTGGGGATGGGATGGCGCTTACACCCACTCTGGTGGAAATTGGGAACCGGAAGAGCCAGAGGGTGCAGTTGGTGGACGCTTGAGCAAATTTCTTTCTATCTCTTCGAGTCCCACTTCGAGAGTCAAAACTTTCTTTCCTGATTTTTTCGCGTGTCTTGCGCATCTTCTTAGCAGGTAGATCCTGCTCCGCTTTTAGGGAGGCATTTGTTTCGTGTTGGTTAGCGGAGACCGACACATTTGGAGTCGCAGGCCAGGGACATTGTTCATGCCAAACGTCATTCAGCGAGGCGCTTCAATTTGATCCATAGGTTGGATACACGTTCTCCTTTGTCAGCCACTTGGCAATTCTCACTTCGACGCGCTGCAGAGCAGTTGCCAACCACTAGGGAGGTTCACATTGCTTTCGCCATTTCTGTCAGCGCGGGGCTATGGCGAAGGTGAATTAAACTTGGGATGACGTTTTGCACAACAGTGCACATTTCTATAGATAGACGATACAACACAGATATACTCCTGTGCTCAGCCTTTTCTATCATTGCTTCCTGTTCAATGTTGTCCTAGACGTAGCCTCGGAACGATTCCGAGGATGACATCACCAGCATCAACCATCATTCAACTGACCACCTTCACAACCCAAGGCAGCCCACACTGTGGAAACAACATCGGAGACGTAATTACTCGGCATCTTCTCATCTTCTCATCCTACGATGGCTCTCGGAACAACAGCCCTCCCCTTCTGGCCCGCCCTCCTCTTCACATACTTGGAGCCCAGTAAGCCTGACTAACGTATATCTGCACAATTAACCAGGCATGGGAACTCATACGTGCACAGTATCCCTTATTATCGGTGCCTATGCGGCGATAACATCGCCCTCTACTTTCATCACCTCTCAGCTTCCATATCACGAGCCAGCAGATCCCATCTCGCCAGCCGTTGTAATCCTTGCGTACACGCTAGGCAGTCTGTTTCTTCTCCTCGCTGGATATGCATTGACGTGCACGGTGCTGACCCTTGATGGGAATGTTACGAAGTACTATCTCTTGTTCGCGGCGTGCGGAGACATTGGGCACCTTGTAGCGAACTATGCGGGCATGGGCAGTGCGGTGTTCTGGGCGTACAGGGAGTGGAACGAGGTTATGTGGGGAAACATTGCTGTCACCATCTTCTTGTTCTTAAATCGTTTAGGGACAGTGCTTGGTTTATTTGGAATGCCAGGGTGGGTAACAGCAGGCAAAGCAAAGAAGGTGTGAATTAAAGCGGGATCCCCAGCGATCTGTTACATGGTAGCAGTGTCCCCTTCGAGGGCGACGTTCTCACTTGCTTCCAGAATTAAGCCCACTGACTGCGCCATTGATGACTCCAGCTTGGAAACCGGAGTGCTGATTGCCAAACGTTACTGTATGTGAGCCATCTTGATTCTTGAGGGCCGCTCTAGCAACTTCGTCTTCCTGCACTTTTGACAGCAGCTCATCCAGCAGCCTCTGTGACGCATTCACCGCTTTACGTTCTTCTTCCAACTGCCGCAACGCCTCAGGAGCGCTTATGCAAAGGTCCATCCTGTTAACAGCCAGGCTGAGGCTTAACATGAGCTGAGTTCTTGCTTCAGCCTTCTACAAGACATGACTGCTGTCGTGCGTTGACTTCGAAATGACCTCCGCACTAAGTTTCAGCAACGAGAACGCTAGCTTTCAGGCCAGCACCATCAACAGTTCGGTCCACAATTCGTTCCACCTTCCGCCTAGTAAGTTGCGGGAAGGCGTGTGGGCCTGAGCGTCTGAGAACTCCAAAGCAATGTGCTAATACACCTCCATCAGGAGAAAGACCACAAACTCCGCCACAACCAGCGGTCCTGACACCCTTTCCGCGCGACGCCGACTTGGTTCGAACGCGGTGCAATATTTGACCATGTTCACGAGATATGTGCAACACCATGCTCGCGGACCGCGCTTGTCGGCCTAGGAGGGGTTGGGTGGGTAGCGTACAGTTTTACTAGCTCTTTATGCTAAACGCAGAAAAGCAAGTCGCAGCTTGCCATTGAATATGCTTACCGTACCTGCGAGCGGTCGCCTGAGACGTGGGTGTTCTGGGCGTACGCGAGCAACGCAGCGCTACCGCCGACCGCGTGAAACTCGCTGGCCGGCACGATCCGCAGGCCAATATATTCAAGATGATGCACGACTGGATGTGCAATAGCAGGCACAAATGGCTGCTCGTCCTCGATAACGTGGATGATGCTTGCTTTATGCTCGCAGTTCAGCGTGACAGCCAAGGTCAGGCTGCTTCCAAACCGGCAGGAGATTCCTGAAGATGTGTTGCGCCTCCAGGAAGACAGTGGTAGCGACAGTGATAACGAACATGATGCTTCACAATCCAGCGCAAGCAACGACGATCTCGAAGACGATGATTATGAAGACGATAGGTTCAAAAAAGATCTAGTTGTGCTGTGTGACTTTAGCTTCATCTCTAGTGAGATCCATGCAAAGAGCTTTGAGATGCACGCACTTGTGCAGCTCGCAACGCAGAGGTGGCTGGCCGCGAGCCGCAGGCTCGAGTGGTGGAAGCAGCAGTTCATCAGCTGTCTCTGCGCGGCGTTTCCGACGACTGGAGAGTACAAGAACTGAACAGTATGTCAGGCGCTGTTTGTGCACGCCAGATAAGCAGCTGACTCAAGCCAAATAGCAAGGGTTTGCTGGAAGAATGGGCTACGCTGTTGTATCGTGCAGCATGGTATGCATGGAGGGAAGGAAACGCAGTTGAAGCTGAGCAGCTGGCCATGGAGTCAATGAAGGTGCGGAGGAAGATACTAGGTCAGGGGCATGAAGACATGTTATGGAGTATGGCGATGCTAGGGTCAGCGTACTGTATTGGAGGGCGATTGAGTGATGCAGAAGAACTACAGAAGCAAGATTTGGAGACGTCCAAGTCAAAGCTGGGAGAAGACCATCTAAACACGCTGGTTAGCATGGGTAACTTGGCATCAATATATAAAGACCAGGCCCGCTGGATAGAGGCATTAGAGCTAGAGGAGCCATTGTTGGAAATAAGGAAGAGAGAGCTAGGAGAAGAACATCTAGAGACACTGGCTAGCATGAACAACCTGGCGTCAACGTACTGGAAGCAAGGCCACTTAGATAAGGCAGAAGAGCTAGAGGAGCAGGTGGAACCTTCGACGTGAATCGAACTGAGGCGGGAAGTCGAAGTGAATGCAGCTGGATGTGCTGTAGTAGAAGGATCAGCGGCGCCAGCAACAGTGCTACAACCTCTATGCAATAGCCTTTACTGTACGAGAGAACGTCCGGGAAATGATGTGATAGTTGATTGAATCTGCTGACTTGCGTACGAAAGCTATGGATGTGCACCAGTCAATCCATCTCTCCATATTATACTTTCAACACCACAAAAGGTCAACACAGCAGATTCAATCAATCGTCAAACTCCCCTTCATAACTATTACCGCCGTCCCACTCAACTCCACACTCTCAATCCCCTTACCATCCTCAGTCGTTTGAACAGTGATAAAAATATCGCACCGCCGGCCCATTTCCACACCCTGCGTCAAGTGGAACTTCTGTACTTGTTCTGCACTGGACTGACGAGCAACGATGGCCAAATAGCAGCACAGCGCGCAACTAGCGCTGCCCGTTCCGGGATCCTCTCTAGTACCAATGCTCCTCGTTCTCAACTTCCTCACACCCGCATCCCCCTCAATTCCCTCTTCGATCCCAAGATCAGTGTAGTAAAAAGTCCCCGTATATCCAACATCCCACCCACTTCCCCGATCCAAGTACTCCGCTTTATAGCACTCTTCAACAGGCAGCAGTCCCTTCGTCGGCAACCCCAGCGCCTGCACATCCCTCATACTTACAAGGTTAAACGCCATACCCTTCACGATGCTCACCAGCGGCACCGTCGCACTGCCACTCCCATCCTCCTTGCCTGGGAAAGGGTGAGCCAGGCGAGACCTGTGGATGCGGAACGCGTGCGGCACATTGACGCTCACTCTCCCGCTGTGTTCCGAGTAGGTGAAGGGGATGGTACCAGCCAGCATCTTCAACTGCTTGATCCCAGGATACATCTCCGGGTGCTGCGAGACATACATTGCTGTACCAATTGTCGGGTGTCCAGCGAACGCGAGGCGGGAGATTGGGGTGAAGATGTCGACGTCTGCTGTGCCATCCTCGGTGCCTGGGACCGGTTCGTGGAGGAAGGTGGTTTCACTAAGATTGAATTCTCGTGCGATCTTCTGCTTTTGCTCTTCGGTGAGGATGTTGCGCAGGGAGGATGGGACGCGGATGATGGCCAGGGGGTTGCCGATGTAGGGTGTTGTGGTGAACACATCTACGGTTTTGAAGGGGAGTTGCATGTTGAAGCCTGTCAAGGAAGGTTCATTGACGAGGAGAAGAAGTGGTGAGCGTTATGTAGTAAGCGTTTGGGTGCTGCTTACTATGACTATTCACTGTACTAACCGGATACGGTATGCCGCTAGAACTGACTCACACTACATTGATCGTCCTTGGCGTGTAATTAATCGGAGTTTGCTGTGGATTGTGGACGTGATCGAACTGTACATTTGGGGTATCTTGTAAGGAAGCTCCACACATGCGCCGCCTATGATCGTAACAACATGTCGTGTCGTTCAAACACCAGTAAATCACCTTCTCATCCCTCGACCTCACTGACATCCGCAAATAGCGGCATGTTGATATCCCAGTCCTCATTTGATCCCGCTGTTCTGCCAACTATACACCTCGTCTGCAGCATCGACTTCTGCGTCATGTCGCTGACATGCTCAAGCAAATGGTACATGAGCGTATCCACGTTGCCAAAGATACTAGTGACTTTCAACTCAACACTGCAAATGACGCAGCCATAGTTGCACTCATCACCTGCACTGTCAGGTGTCTTCTTCTTGACATGACTCTTAGCTAAGAAGATCCAGCGATACCGGATACCGGATTTCGAAGTGTGTATGTTTGGGTCTACGATGGTCTCTTTCTTGCCCTTTTTGCTGGGATGGGCAATGCTGTAAGTGTTTCCACGGAAGTTGCATGATTTACACTCCCAGACCTCTTTAGTGTTGTACATGCCTGAAGGCATAGTGCGAAGTGCAAGTCCCTTCTTGATGTCTTCGCGAACGTCCCATGCGCCTTTGCAGAAGCCCCAATAACTGTTGTCTTTGCACGGTCGACCACCCATCATGCGCTCTTGTCCGGGTTTTGGGGACTGAATGGTGGACGAGGGAATGATACGGACTGAGCGTGGAAGAACGCCGACTGAGCCTGAGCCGCTACTGTCAGTCGATGCTATGGAAGGCTGTCGGATGCGATCGATGGTAGGCGCAGAAACAGCTCCGTGCCATGGTATTGAGGGTACTCCGAATGTCACAGTGTGCCCGCTTGAGCTACTATGCGAACTGGGAGGTCCGCGCACCTCAGGGGACCGCAAATTTGGTCGCGTAGGGCTGATCTCTGCTCTGTCTTCTTCCTTGGGTACAGGAGAGTCTGGAGGTGAGGCAAAAGGTGCAATTACATTCGGCACCCTTGTGGCGGACTGTGAGTTTAAGCTGGAAGAATCCTGATTAGGTGAGCTCGTCACCTCGTGAGATAATTTTGGCTCGTTGGCTGGTCCACCATTCTGTGGAGAGGCTCGCAATGGGCTCCTCTGTGGCACAAAAAGGGGTGCGATGGAAGATGTATAGGTATCATTTGTTGGTGCGTAGGATGTAGGAAGCGACGTGGGCTGACCATAATGATCGATAGACTGTTGGAAAGCTGCATTCGGAGACGTCGACGGCGAAAATCCTGGCTTGTCTATGGGTGGTGAATGAGTTGAATATCGAGGGTCGCTTTGAGCATACGAACTGCGCGACGATTCTGAGTCGTTATGTTCCCATGATCTATCCGAGTAGGGTGCACTGGAGGTCGATGAATTAGAGAAACGATGTACAATCTGCGTCTGGTGCTGAGGATATGGGTTTGCAGCTGCATACGGAGGGTGCTGATTGTGTCCATTGAACATGTCCTGGTTGAACGTGGGATGATGGCCTGCATAAGCTTGTGATGGCGACAGTGTGTGGTTAGCTGCTGGCATATCATCCCAGGTTCGACCGAACATGTCCTGTCCTGGGGATCCATCACCGTTGAGCATATCGAGCGTACCCCGCCGCTCTCCAAATGGTTTAGGATGCTGATTATAGCTCCACGGTTCGTTCGGAGCTCTATTGCTAACGTCAAGGCCCTTATAGGAATCCATAATCTCATCAATGTCTCTCGTGATCGTGGCATGGTCCTCTCCCCTCGCCTTGACAAGCTGTTCGAAAGCAGCGCTGTAATTGATATTTGGCGGTTCCGCCGGTGGGCTCGCGTTGGTCGATACAGACTTTGTTGATGCGCTGCTACTGCGTTTCATTTGGAAGTAGCGGGCCAGACCAGACCTGGATTCCTTCGTCTCCGTTTGTGAAGCAAGGGTAACAGCCGAGGGAATGTAGCCATCCGGAACAGTGTCTACAGGCTTGAAGCTGCTTGGCCATGACGATGGTAGAGTCGCGACCGAAGACCGTTGCTCATGTCCTCTCTCGGTTTGACGTGGTACGGGTCGTGTCATGATAATCCTTTGTTTCATCTCATCCAATATCACAAAGGTATCTTTGCGGTTCGTTATCGATGCTTCGTGCAGTAAGCGGAGGTTCAGTATTGCCGTCTCGTGTTGCGCAGCCATTTGAAGACTCTTGATTATCTCCATCTGGTTTCAGAGGTACGGGGTCAGTGGGTCTCTTCTATAGGCTTCGTGTGAGTTGCTCTTACCTGAAGCATGACAACGACATGCATGAGGCGATCGCGTGCGATAGCTGAACACATTAGCTCGTGATCTGAGTGGTCTACGTGTGGTGTTACTTACTGTCACCAACCCGCACAACGTCGCCCATCTCCCTCATATCTTGTGTATATCGAAAGCCTATTTGTTGCTCGCCAGATATAAGGGAATCCTGCAATTGTTTCTCCTCAAACTCCTGCTGGGCTGCGGCACGTGCCTTGCGTCGCTTTGCTTTTATGTGTTTGAGAAGTTCAGAGCCAGCGTGGAATGCAGAGACCACGGCGCTGACCGCAGCGACAACCTACAAACGTTATTCGATGCCTTCTTAACCTGTGGCTACAATATGTTGATCTAATAGAAGCGACAGAGATGTACCATACCTCAACGCCGGACATGTTGTGAGCTGTTTAGATGCGCCGCCTGCTGGCGCAACCGCGGTGGTTGGCTGAATCAAATACCAGTGCCTACTGGAATATCATACGCTTTTGAAAGCTCGTCTCGTGCTCACGGGCTAATCGACACGAACACACACGAAAGTCGTTTTAGAGAGTCCACGAACCCCACGTTTCGGAGGAACTCTTGAGCCAAGGCTGACTGTTGCCTCGAGGCTCAGGAAATTTTGCGGATATCGAAGGAAAGCTGGCTGGGCGATTGCGTGATACGTTGGAAGAGCCCCTCCAACAACTTTCTGGTAAGGATAGAGTGTGTGGGGAAATGTCACGGAGAGGATGACTAGGAAGAGAAGGTCATAAGGAACTACACGAGGGAGAAATCGGACTGCTGAGCGGGCTGCAGCTCGTACGCAGCCTCACTTCACCCCTCGTCCTCTGTGAGCTATCGAGATTAGCCTTGAGCTTCGCCGCCAGGCTCGAACCTCGGTGCATGGTTCAAGTATCGAGAACTGCATCTTCGCCAATAAGGAGAAGCTGTGGCAGTGTTCTTATCAGTCCCGTGCAGTCATATCTGCGACTAAGGCGGTGATGGCTGATGAGGAAGCAGAAGCGTTGTGTCCCGTTGGCCAGGTCGAGCAGCACGGCAAGGGGAAGCGAGGGCGGATGCGGGGTCCGGGATGAAGCTTCATGGTGCTGGCGGTCCAAAGCTACACCGGTACCTGCGTTGTATGGAGCAACCCCAGAGCGTAGGGGTGTGTTAGGCAAGCTTGATAGAGATGGCGAAGCTTGGGTGTAGCGGTTGCACGTTGTGTTGCGGGGCGACGGGCTGTGCTCGTTTGTGGAGGCGCTGTTGACGTGAAAGCTAAAGCACAGCCTCTCTGGCGTCTCTTCTGGCTGACCGGCCCCTCGAGAAGAGCGCAGATGCTGGCGCTACAAGACGATGTGATTGCAACTGGGCAAGTCGGTGCTATTGGATGGGTATTTCAGTGCCTCCAAATACTTGAAGAAAGTGCTCGCGTGCCGCGCAACATGATCTTAGTAGGCAGGAAACAACGACAGAGAGCGTCGCAGGAAATCTCACACCTCTCCTCATTGACCGTTTTCTAACAGGGGCACTCCTGCTCTTTCCACTGATAGCCAACAAGTGGAATAGAGAAGAACAGAACTCGAAAGCAGCACCATCAACACCGCCAAGCCGCAAACATGTGACACCGCGATCTCGCGCCTTCCCAAACTTTCGTCATCACCAAACCAAACCGCTTCAACCACAACACACAATGCCACCAAAAGGCTCGCGAAAGTCCGCACCGGCAATTACCAAAACCCTCGTTCTCGATAACGGTGCTTACACGTTGAAAGCCGGTCTTGTCCCCACAACCTCCACCACACCACCCACACACGCCGACTGCAGCGTAATACCAAACTGCATCGCGCGCAGCACGCGCGACAAGCGCACATACATCGCGTCTGAACTCGACTCATGCAAGGACTTTGGCGAGCTTGCCTTCAGGCGGCCGGTGGAAAAGGGCTTCATTGTTAACTGGGAGGCAGAGAAGGCGATATGGGAGCACGAGTTCATGGGCGCGGGGGAGGGGTTGAGGGTAGGTACGCCGATGCGTCTGTAAATTCTTAGGGGGAGGGCAACGCTGACTGGCGCAGTGTGATCCGAAGGAGACGAATCTGCTTCTGACGGAGAAACCGAATTGTCCCAAGGAGTTGCAGAAGAACTGCGATGAAATTGTGTTTGAGCAGTTTGAGTTTGCGGCGTACTACCGCTGCGTGGGTGCGTTCATCCTCGTGGAACTAATGGGCGCAGAGAGCTAATGTATGCAGGCCCAACAATGGCTGCGTACAATTCCTTAGATGCTACATCGCTATCTGCTGTACCGCAGGAATGCCTCCTCCTCATCGACACCTCGTACTCAGACACCACGATCCTACCACTCTACAATGGGAAGGTATTGCAGTCGGCAGTGCGCCGCCTCACAGTGGGCGGCAAGCTGCTCACTAACTACATGAAAGAGCTCTCCTCCCTACGGCACTACAACATGATGGAAGAGACGTACCTGCTCAACGAGATCAAAGAGGCCGTATCATACGTCACACCGTCACCGCAACAGTACGCCAAAGACCTCGAGCGGACGTGGAAGGGAAGGCTAGGAGACAAGAGGGAGTTGGACAGTAGTGTGGTGGTGGACTACGTGCTGCCAGACTACGAGAACGCGATACACGGGCATGCAAGACCGCATGATCCTGCGAAGTCACGGATGAGACGCGGAATGCAGCCTGTGCAGGGCCCGAGGGAGGATCTGCTGCCGCTGGGGAACGAGAGGTTCGCTGTACCAGAATTACTCTTCAATCCATCAGATATCGGCATACAAGAGTCGGGCATTCCCGGTGCAGTCATGGAGAGTCTCAGTGTGCTTCCCGAGGCGCTGAGGATGGGGTTCATGGCGAACGTGGTGGTTGTGGGAGGCAACTCGCTGATTGAGGGCTTTATGGAGAGACTGGAAGCGGAGCTGAGGATGCTAGTCCCGAGTGACCATCTCCTGAATATCTCACGGGCGGAGGACCCTGTCAGGCATACATGGCTTGGGGCTGCGCGGTTTGCGAGCCAGCCGGAGCTGCTGAAGGAGGTGCTGGTGAGCAAGGCCGAGTATGACGAGAAGGGGTCGACGTGGCTGGCGAGAAGATTTGCAGGCGAGAGACAGTAACGGCACCATACTACTGAAGACCAACACAATTGATTGTTCATCCGTGAATGCCTCCAGTGCAGCACCTCTGCCGTTGAGACGGCTTCTCGAACGCTGCACTCCTCGATCGCGGAAGTTCGGGGCTTCTGATTGGACAATGGACGGTGTCTTGGCAGTCTCGAACATTTCCAATGTTGCCCGCGAGACTTTGTGAACGACGTCCATCTCAACACCGCCGCCCCAATGCGCAGGATACCGCGCCCCTCGCGGGCAATCGACGCCTCGTCCGCCTTCCAGTCCTCGGTGCGCCAACGGACCGCATCGCCCTGCACCCACCTCCGCGCCTTCTCCACCACCCCTTCTGCCGCGTTCCTCCTGCCCGCCGGCAAGCAGGACAAGAAGAAGCACCAGCAGTTCGTGCGGCGGTGGCAGAAGCGCCTCCTCGGCGAATCCGAGCCCATCGGCGCCCACGTCGACCCCTACGACCCGACGTCGCCTGTGCGGATAGCGCCCGAGGACCAGGGTGAGGAGATCGAAGTGCTCGAGGAAGACGCCAATGCATCGTTCCCGCGGTACCAGAAGGCCGAGCACGGGCGCAAGCTGAAGCACGTTGGTGGTGAGGAGTGGCTGGCGAAGACGGAGGAAGGCGACATGGCAAGGGAGTTTGAGAAGTTGACGCTCAGGACGTATACGCCGCTGACTCTGGAGATGGCGGATCAAATTGAGGAGTGGACGGGTACGCCGTATACGCTGCGGGACGAGAATCTGTTGATGGCGCAGACGGTGCACCAGGTCACGGGACGGCCGTACACCGAGTTCAAGTATGTGGATGACATGACATGTGCAGTGCATCGTAGGTTACTGACGAGTGACAGCTTTGGCGTGAACAAGAGGACGACAGACCCTGTCAAGCTTAGGAAGGCATTCGCCCAAGCTGTGGCCGAGGTGTACACATTCAAGCAGGCCGGCCTGGATCTGGATCTCTCCAAGCTGCCCAACCGCGGTGTCTACAAGCGTCCCTCGTGGGCCAAGAACATCAAACTCTACAACACCTCCAGCGGCGAGCTCGCTCTCGCATTCCCGGAGTACAGGAGTGCCGAGCAGTTCATCAACCTCATTCAGTCGACACCAGAGTGGGATGCATTCGAGCCTGAGTTGTTAGAGGACGACGAGCTCCTTGTCGAGGACGTTGTAGCGCCGGTGGTCCCCGAGGCTCCTGCTGCGGTGCCGGTCATGGATCCCGCGACGCCTGAGTACAGGAGGGCGGCTGTCGTGAAACAGGACCCCGAAAAGACGTTCGACTTCATGTCGAATCGACCTGTGCCTCGCGCAAAGCCCGTCGAGACTCCTGTCGACGCCGCTGGGACACCCGTAGTTGAGGAGGACGTGCAGGTTGAGGAGGCTGTCTCCGTACCGCCCACCCACACCCCGTCTTCGCCTGCCCCCTCGCGCCACGCTGGACTCGAGACCAAAGCACAGAGCCTCACCGATGCCATCACTCAGCTGAGGAAAGAAGCGCGTTTGAACAGCGAAAACACCGCCTCACAAGTTAACGAAGTGATGTGGCGCCACGTCCCGCTCACCGACAACGACGTCAAGTTCGCTGTAAGTCTCCTCTATTCCCCCTCCACCCAAGATCGTAAGCTAATGCTACTGCAGCTGTTCAAACGCCTCCTCCAACTCACCGGCACACGCATCCCCGACCCGCTCCTCTCCTCCTCCACCACTCTCGGCGACTTGTACGGCCACCTCCGCGACGCCGCCAAACCCGCACCCACCTCCCTCTTCAGCGCACTGCACACCGAAGGCCAGTACCTCCGTGAGAAGGCCAAGACTCAGATCACCGCCGAAGACAGCTCGAGACAGCAGCGCGCCAACCTGGGCGATCTGTTGACGTTGGGTAATGTCGAGCTGAGGAAGTCGAAGCCGACGTTGACGGAGAAGAGGACCAAGACGGGTATGGAGAAGGTGGTGCAGTATGCGCTGTGGGAGCGTGGGCTGGACACGAAGGGGAAGAGGGGGAAGAGGAAGCAGGAAGATGTACCGGTTGGTACGCCGTTGAGTAGGAGGAGTGCGAAGTTTTTGGTTGGGAAGACGAGCCAGAACCTAGCATAGAGGTGTTTGAGACAGGAACCGTTGTAACTTGTACATTATGTAGCATGGCTGGGCTAGGATTTGTACTGTATCACATGGCGGCGGAAGATTTAGAGGGCCGTGTAGGAATACTATTGCATGTTCACGAGCCGCGCGTGCCCGGCATACAACCTGGTCGTCACGTCAAACTTATCCATTGCCGACAAGCATATAAGATCGGCGTTTGCAAGGCGCGAAAGGACCGAGTAGCTACTAAGTCGATGCTCGCAACTCGTACTCGGGATGTGGAGGCTAAGAACGGTACATCTTCAGGTACATAGTTTGATGAGGGGGATTTGATGAAGCTGTTCGACATGCAGTAGTACAAACCGACTTTGAGAGCTGATGCCAAAAGACTCTTAGAAGTGCATTGCCAAAGACTCTTGGAAGTGCATCGCCAAGGCCTTCAGATGCACCTTTCATATGGTTATCAGTCGTCGTGGATTTGAATAGAGACATTATGCTACTCGGTCCCGACTGTCTATACAACTCACTGGGATCTTCTTGTACATCGATATCCCAGGGCAGGAAAGCGCAGCGCATCTTGTGGCATTGGTAGCAGCCTCTCAAGTGGTGTTGTCTATATATCTCAGTACGATAGGCTGTCGGAGCTTTTGTTATGGGAAGTAGGAACAGGTACCGTGTCCGTGCGCGTGCCGACCGGATTCGCGTGACGACTGGGTTTTACTAGGAAAAAACAACAAAATATACGAAGTTTGACCTTGAATATTAGTAGAGATATTAAGATACTTTCTATTAGAGAAGTATTTGGTTTTTTATTATCTTTAACCTTATGGGAAAAAATCTGTAATAATATAGCTATTTAACCAAGTTTTTTTTTTACTAGTAAAAGAGTGTCACGGGTATTTCTCACTTTACATGTACCGGCCAGCCCTCGGACAGATTCCAGAGCTGGGCTGGAGGCTCACGGGTCACCTGTATATATTCCTCACAAGCCTTGTGTGAGAGGGGGCAGCTGGGGATACCAACTGCTCTCTGGGATGGATGAATTGGTGGAAGGAAGGTTCAGGCTTGTTGGAGATAAGGGTGTGGAAGAGACCAAGTGTGGGAATACCACAAGTGGTGAAAAGGATAAATGATGAAGAAGGGATCAAGTGTGGGGACACCACAAAGGATCAGTGAGGCATGAAACAAGTATTGAATTGTCTCCTCTCGTATCGTTGCGTAGTCCTGTTCGTTCATTGTTGTTGCGGGTTGCCCTTTGATCGTAACACCGTCCATCTCAGAGAGCAGTTGGTACCCCCAGCTGGCCCCCGCTCACACTCTGCCCCGGGGGATCTGCCCAACAGGACTCCGGACCGAAGGATAAAAACCCTTCAGACCTCCGTACCGGAGCATCCCTTATCAAATCCATCAAGTTTCTACTAGCACTCAGCCCTCAGCAGCCAGCTCCTTACAAAGAGATTTTCTGATATTTTTTATTATAGATACTTAGATCCTTTAATTATCTACTACTTTAGTATTAGAAGTATTTTAATATCTTATTAGTTCTATGGTTAGACTATTTTCAAATAGGCTACTTTGTTGTTTTTCTCTAGTTGAATCTGCTCGGCATGCGAATCCGGTCAGCACGCGCACGTTCTCGCAATGCGCGCCTCAGCACTTTCACAGGCAACACAAAAATGAGGCTGTAGAGCCACACACAATAGTTATTATTGTGAGATATTTTGGTGGAGTACTCTATAGGCCTATGCGACAATATTCCCTCATACAAAACGGGCAGGCAGAGTTGAGGTGCAGCCACGGCGGGTGGTTGTTGTAGGAGCCACCTGCACCAGGCTCTCAGCAGCAGCACCACTCCGGGCAGCAGCAACACCACGATTCTGCTTCTTTCTTGGTACTGCTTTCTGTGAGGCCTTGCGCTTGCCTTTTTGGGATAATTGTAGAGCTTTTGCAGCGTCGCGGGCTTGTTTTTGACGCTCTCTCTCAGTTCTGCGTTCGGCTGCTTCCTCTGCCTGTTCAGCCTTTTGCTGGTCACGCTCTTCCTTCTCCCTTATCCGCGCCTCACGCTTCTGCTGCTGCTGCTTCTCTTTGAGTAGTTTTTGAGTGTGTTGTAGCTCCTTCTGGGTAGCTTTCTCTGCCTCTACCTGTTGTTGATGGGCCTCAAATGCAGCAGCATGGGCATCGGCTTCCCTCTTCAATGAAGGACTCCACCAGGTAGCTCCTCCGTGCCGCTCAAGGCTGTGAGCGTACAAAGGCAGTACCTTCTTCTTATTCTTCACCCTATCCTTAGCAGTAAGAGCCTGTTGTACACCTTTTAACTCATGCTGAGTGAGCTCTAGTTGAACGTGGAGCTGGTGGATAGCCTGTTCCAAAGCCGATGCCTCTGCACCAGCGTCATCCTTCACTACACTCCGCAACAACAACTTGGCTTTGAGCCAGTTTGGCTCTGTAGGTAGAGCAGCAGCTGCGGTTTGCTCTGGAGGTGTTGCTAGAGGCGGAGGAGTAGGTGTTTTGAAGTGATCAAGTATGATGTTGGCGTTTGGTGGGTGGATACCTGTGGCTCGGAAGGCAGTCAATACCAACGTTTCAGTGAAGGTGTTCACCCAGGCAGGCCAGAATAGTAAGAAGAAATCGCTCTTCTTTACAGGCGCCTTGCCTTGGCTTGTATAGTTGTGTTTATCTAGCTCGTTGGAGTAGTTTTGAGCCAGTGGCTTGAAGCAGACTACGTCCAACGGCTGGAGAGTATGGGTGGCATGTGGTGGAAAGATCATGAGTAGAATCTTGTTACTGTTGCAGTATTTGATGAAGGGCTTTGTTATATGACTGCCATGGCCATCGATAATGAGTAGCCGCCACTTCCTCCGAGCCTTGGGCTTAGTGTAGCGATCAAATACCTGCTGCAGCCACGTCAAACCCAGGTCGTTATTAGTCCATCCATTTGGTGAAGTAGTGAAGTGGATAGAGTGTTTTCCTGCCTCAATGGCGTGTACCCAACTAGCCTGTACATCACGCCCGGCAGCTGGAAAGATGATGCCTGGAGGCAGGTGGGATCCATCGGCACATATAGTGGCCAGCACTGTCACCCACTCA